TCCCCCTGCCTCTCTATCCTCTCCCTCCTTATCTCTGTCTATCTTATTATCTCTCTCTCTCTCTCTCTCTCTCTGACTGTCTCTGTCTCGCTGTCTCTCTATCTCTGTCTGCGCAGTGCCCAGCTATTCACCTTATTTTTTTTACTACCGCCCCTCCAAAGTTTAGAACCCCACACCCCACGGGGTGAGGTAAGATATAAAATATATCCAGACGTACGAAGGCTTTGAGGACAAGGCGATATAACTTTGTGCACTAATAGTCTATTTACAGATCTTCGAAGTATCTTTAATGTTGGTGTAAGCACCGTTGTTTTGAATATATGTGAATTTAAAAATAATAGATGAGATATATATCCGGACGTATTTTACAGGGTCATGTCCTCCTTTTTATACTTTTGTTGGGGATATTTTAAAACATACACAATTTCCTTTTGGTAACATGCTCGTCTGTGAGAACGATATTTAGAAAAAACTTGACGTTTTGACCCGTTTACTCTACTATGCTTGTAAGTGGCGGCACTAATACTGGAATATTCTCCCTTCCCTGAACAAATAACGAGGCTCACGGTATTCTTGTTCTTACTAATGTTGAGAACTGTTGGTGATTCTGGGGAGGAAGTAAAACACGTTTTTTGTTTACTAGGAATATAGTTGCTAGAGTTATATTGAGATATTTTAAAATGTCAAACCAGAAATGTCAAATATTCTACATTCAAAAGTCAAATATTCTACATTCAAAATGAGAAGGAAGGATTCGGAAGTTGAATGGAAAGTTTTTGTAGGTGGATCCTATGTCTCTTTGTTAGTTTTGCATGTATCAGTACTTTACATCAGTTAGAATACATCCATAAAAATACATTACTTACCATCCTCTTCCTTGTGCTATTCTCACCCCTTACACACACTTACACTTACTACACTACTACACATGTCCGGAGCTTCCTGTTAGAGCTTGCCCTGGCTGGGGCGGCCCCCGCTGGTGATAAATAACTGGTCGTGGAAAACCCTGCAAGCCGACATAGGTCGGTGCCGTATGTCGACAACCAGGGAGGAAAGCTCACCGCAACCTCCCACGTTAAAACATGTACTACACATACGGGTATAATGATCTGAGCAATTGACGCACCCGGAATAATTAATCAATCAATAAAATCAACGAAAAGAAATGTCCTTTCTATGATACTGTCCTCCTTTCCACGGCAGGCCATCTGGTTCCTCTAGTATAGAGGCGTTACCTCTCTGAGTGGTCGGAAAACGAATGAATATCATGTAGGGCGCTGGCATTGCTAAAGATGGTGATGAAAACCATTTTCTAAAGAGATAACAAAACGTACACACTGACGAATTGAGTATTTGGGCATTATGATGCATTGAGTGCTTGGACGTAACACACCGTAATGTTGTCAGCATTAGTTGTCAAAGGGGTCCCTTATAAAAAGATCCCTCTGCTTGGGTTTCTATTTCTTGGCGCGCGAACCCTTGTCTTCACGATGGAATATCTTGCGGTATTTCACGTCTTTCTCAGTCGTGTCGCTAGATCATTTAATTCTCAAGAACCTGTAACAAGTATTGTACTTCAGCTTATGGGTCAATGACCCTCATCTCGATCTGGTTTTCGTCCAGTTTCCCTGATCCTTGAGCAAATGTCCCTTGACCTTGAAATAGACCGTTGTTTTGCTTCTGGACGTAAATGTAACTTCAAATTAACTTCACTCCATAGCTCGTCACACATGGTTTTCAAACTGTTTTTGACGTAAAGAAATAAATAGATGTCGTATGATCGCGACCGTATCTAGCAGTACTGGCGATCATGCGACATCTAGTGGTGAGATATTCGATCGTGAAGACAAGGCCTTGCCCGAGAAGAAATAAAACCCGAGTATAAATGTGGATGGTGCGTGTGACGTGTGGCGCAGGCCGCGCCGCCGCAGCCAGCGCCGGTGGCGCACGCGCGACGGGAGCGGACGGGGCGCGCCAAGGGCGCTGCCGCGCATGCGCACAAGCGGTCCGCGCAAACGCACTCGGCGCCGGCGCAGCCTCCACCCTCCGCCGCCGCCTCGGCCGCGGCGCTCGCGCAGCAGCACGACTTCCGCGCCGACTTCATCCACCCCGACGACATCATCCACCACAAGAACGGCAACGTGTATATCAAGACGCTGCGCTGCCGCGTGTGCAGCTTCAAGGCGGCGTGGGAGGGCGAGATGGCGCGGCACGAGGCCCGCGTGCACGGACTGCGCAGGTACGAAGCTCGCTGTAAACACGCGCTTTATCCACTACTCATCGCTCCGGCGTCGCTCGGAAGTAGGAATGCGGCATGGGTCTTTTTTGCCGAAATAGCGATGTTTTCCCAGCGCGATTTTTTAACAGCGACGTTTTGTGATAGATATTTTGTTTCGGAATGAAAAATTCCCATGATCCCAAAATTCCTAAATTTTATTGCTCATGAATTTACTGTTAGAAGTTACTAAAGCAGCTTCAATACATCGATGTTGAAAAATATCGATGGTTTTCAGTTGATATATTAACGTCAATGTTTGTATTAGCTACCTCGAACGTTAAACCACTATCGATCTTCTGCGCATGCGCAATTCAAGTTTCGCACCACTTCAGTGCCTCTGCGCATAAAATGTCGATAATGCTGTCTGCTATGGCATGCACAAACTCCCTATTTTGAACATCGATGTTTGCTGAAATCCATGAATTATTATCGATGTTGCATCTCTACTTGTGAGGTATCCTCGTGTAATAGATAAGGTATCTTCAACAACGTGCGCAAGAATGGGTTTTATAGTATTCCCATTTTGGTAAAATACTAAATAAAAACTATTAGGTTGTATTAGGTTATTATTCTTAAATTCACAACCATATTATTAATTCGAGGAATAGTTAATTGGTGTTGGTTTGCCAACGTTTTAGTCGTCTATTGTTCCCTCCCCAAGGCTGTGGGATCCAGAATTACACTGTTACTACATAGGTAAATTTCAAAGTTAGATAGTAAGTAAAAAACAAAGCAACAAAATTACATACTGACTTATTGTACAAGAAAAAGAAACGCCGTAGATAAAAAAATAATATTTATCATAAGTATAACATAATGTAGCAGGAATTATTTTTATTTATGGTGCTTCTTTTTCATATACTATAATTCAGTCAATTATTTTGTTGTTTATTTTTCATGTACTTTCTCTAACTTTGTCACTCATCTATGTAATAACAATGAAATTGTGTTCTGTAGCCCTGAGGAGGGAACAATAGAGTCCGAAATATTGACAAACTAATCCAACCAATTTTTTAATTAAGTGACCAACTTCTCTTAACTACTCCTAGAAAGTTAGGTTACGTGAGAAGAAATGATTCGCTGTGCTGCCGCCAGGAGCGCGTACGCTCTACCCGGAGCGCTGGGAAGAGTAGATAAAACACTTTATTCGCAAGAGATAAAGAGGTATAGTAGCAGCAGATTATTGGGATTTAACTACCGTATTTAACCTTAATAAATAAAAATACAGTATCATGACCGCACTTGGTCACGCCTGGTATATTTCCTCTCGATACCGCAAACAACGCTGAAAATCAAACAGCTGAACGTCGCATCTGTGGTAACAAATTAAGTTAGGTTATATTAGGAATGGTTATAGAAAAAGGGGACATTAGAACAAAGTACATGTTTTATTTCTCATTACATAATTACTTCACATAACAATTTAAGACATTAGAACGCTCTCAGAACTGTGCAAAAGGAATAAATCGCACCAAACGCATGTCTTACGAGGAAAAATTCCGGAAAGTGACATCAGGAGCATGAAAGTCAAACTGTATGGAATCTGTACCGAGGGATGAAGCGTGAGTCATTTTTTGTTCAAATTACAGCCAGTATGGTCAGTCATTTTCTACACCGAAAAAAATGATCACGTAAGGCCACGGTAACAGTGGAGCCGAAAAATCGGTCGTTCGCTACCGGACGACTTCGAGCAAAATCGTACTTAAGCCATCCGAAAAGCGCCCGAATGTTGCACCCATAATCGTCTGAACATTCCTATAATTCCGTATTTGTTTCAAACATTTACGAGAGGCATCTCAAGACATCGACATGTCTTGCAGGTAGTCTTAGTGTGCAGACGGCCTCGACTCTTTAGTTGATTTCGGGCAAATGACAAAATGGATCGAAGCAGATCTTCGTCCGACAGCCGATGTTTCCGAAAGCCGTTAGAAGACGTCGTTCGGATTAAATATGCCCATTTCCATTTACTAGTACGTTTTTGAAGGAATTTGGCATATCGTATGTGACCGACCGAAATTTCAGCCAAAATCGATTCCACTCTTGACTGCTGCCTTAAACACTCGAGAAAAAGAATGAGGGTATATTCTGATTGAAAGAGGAAGTACTTTCAAGATACTTTCAAGGTTCATCTTAAATGTTCGGAATTGAAGCTCCCGATTGGATGAAAGTGTCCTCCCTCTCTCCTGAGCTTGTGGTATTGAAAGGTGTTCGTGTTTTAAGGAAGTAGAAAGACGATTGGGATCCCACAATCAATCATTAATTGTAGGCCTTCAAATTACTGAGCTATCCTCCATCTTTGAGAGGCTCTTACTCTGTACCGAATTCCACTTTTTTTTATTATTTATTGAGGCAAGCAAGCATAGAAATAGAGGTAGATGTAAGATCGAAGTGTGAGTTTCAGAGCAAAATGGATACTCCTTGCCTGGAGCTAATATCTGGGCCACTAGGCTTCGATGTTTTTCAAATGGCTGATGACATTAGGTGATTGCCACACCTCTTGCCTTACAAAATGAATCTTTTTAATTAATTCGCGAACGTTTTTCTCAATGGGGCAGGAGGTGTAACAATCTAAGTATAAGGCTTTACCAAGCTCTCAGGCAAGGGAGCTCGGCCCAGAGGGGTGCGAAGGCTTCCCTAGGTGTAAGGCAGAGCGTTTGTCTTTGTCGGGCAGGCAGCCGCCGGCGCAGCCGTCCGCGCCGCCCGCGCCGTCCTCCCGCCGCCGTCGGCCGCCGCCCGGCCCGGGCGCGGGGCCCACGGCGCGCCGCGGCCCGTGCCCAACCTCATCCCCAATCCAGAAGCAGGCGGGGGCGGGGGCGGCCCGCGCCGCCATCTGGCGCATCACCGAGCGTGCGCCGGCCCTGCCCTCCGGGGCGCGCCGCCGCCACCCCCCGCGCGCTCACGGTCTTGCTACGCGCCCGCGCCCGCCGGCCGCCCCGCCGCCGGCCCTGCCGCGCGCCCAGCCTCAGCAGAGCGACTGGACGAGATCTGCGCCAAGTCCTGCGCCCACTTCCGCCTCAAGGACTTCGCGCCGCTCATCGGCGGCCGACGCCTTCCGCCGGCGCCGACACACGGCGAGACGACGGCGAGGACGACGACGAGGACGACGTGGAGTATCAGCGCCCGCCGGCTTCTGTTTCTCTCCCCTGCAGGGGGCAGGCGCGGATTCGCCGATCATTTGGGGGGGGGGGGCATCGTTTATTTTTTTGTTAAATAATAATCAATATTTGCCATTATATTGTATATTAATTTATGTACCTGTAGATATTATGCAGTTGCACATAATGATTGTTTAAATAATTGCATATGCGACCATAATAAATGTTTAAGTTAACTTTGCCAATAAGGGAAGGTAAATTGAAAACTTGGCCTTTAGGGAGGGGCATGGCCCCATGGTCCCCTGGCCAATGGCGGGGGTGTGGTGGGGAAGGGGCGACGCAATGAAGAAGGTTTGTGGACGGTTTGAAACTTGAACCTTACTTTCCCCAGCGGTATCATGTATACGTCGATAGCCACGCGGGTAGCTCTCTGGTCAGCGTGCTCGCTTTCCATGACACGATCACGGGTGCGATTCGCGGCCGGGGGAAGATTATAGTGTGCGATTTCTCTTGCAACGACACAAGTGGTCTGTTGTTACGTGGTCGATAAGGAAGCTCCTTCTTAGATTGAGAATCACGGCGCAGGGTACGGGCCTCTGGTAGGTTTGGCCCGCGATTCTCGCTCCGAAATCTCCTCTCCTTTCAGCGAGTGAATTCGACGTATGTATAAAATCGTTACTCTAAGAAGAACCACTTTGAACAGGCCAGGAAAACGATGTAATGCAGAGCACTGACAGTGCAAAAAATAGTGATGAAGCGATTTGAGCAAAATGGGTAATCTGTAAACGAACGCAACTGAACAAAATGAGTGTGGACATAACTTGCCAGTTATGTTGTCAGCAGTGGCTGTCAAAGCGTTCTTATATCGGCAGCGCAAAGAAGCGACTATTGTCAGTTCTCTCGGCCAGTGCTGGTTACGTCATGTGACCTGCTCTGAAGCAATCTTCTTGCGAGGGTTTGTTTACTTAGGCGTTCGGCGACGCCGCTCATCTGGACTCACACGAAGTCGCGGAGGCGAAAGGGTCGTCTTTGGCGAAAGTTATGATGGTGATATGAAGGCGTGTCATCGGCCTGTCAGTGGTGTTAATGTTTTCGAGATTTTAATGTATGTGTGATGTAGATGGTGCCAAGTGCGTAGGGATGTGCGGGAGCCGCTTTCTCCGGCTTCGACGTGCCGTGCGTGTGTGGCGTGCGCAGGTGGACTGGCGAGGGGCGAGGGTCGGGGCCGCGGGGCGCGCGGGGCGCCGCGCGCAAGGGCTTCCTGGACCAGCTGGGCGAGCGCCTGCTGAGAAGGCAGCGGCGGCGCTCGAGTGCGAGGCGGTGTCGGCGTGCGCGCGTCGTGCCTAGCGAGCTGGCGCGCCACCGGCGGTCCCGCACGACCGCCCGAGGGGCCGGAGGGGGCGGCGGCCGCCAGCGCCCCCGCGCCCAGCGCCGCCCCGCGCGGGCTGAGCTGTCCTCGACGCGCTGCCAGCGTTGCCGCCAGCGCTGCACAAGACGTCGGGCGGGCGCGCTGGTGCACCTGCGCACCTGCTGCACCGGCGCCGCCTCGCGCTCGCCCTCTGCCCCGGACCCGGACCCGGACCCCGACCCGCACGGCTCACCGCCGCCATGGAGAAAGGGTGTTCGTGTGGAACAGCCTGCCCCGCCCGGCCGCTGGCGCCGACGGCGGGGCGGCCGAGGCTAACGACGGTGGCGCCGCCGCGGACGTAGCGGAGGGCGAGGCGCCGCACCAGGCGGAGGCCGACGCCGACGCAGACGCAGACGCGGATGCCGACGCCGACGCCGACGCAGACGCAGACGCAGATGCCGACGCCGATGCTGACGCCGACGCCGACGCCGATGCTGACGCAGACGCCGAGGTAGCGATGGCAAATTTTAGGGAGTTCGTGCACCCTCGAACGTTAAAGCACTATTGATCTTCTACGCATGTGCAGTTCAAGTTTTGCACCCTTTAGTACATCAGCGCATGCGTACAAGATCGATAATGCTCTCCCCTATGGCGTGTACTATCTCCCTTTTAGCGAAACATTGATACATCCATACTTCGATACTATAGTACGATTTGTTTAGTCTCGCACTTGGCGTTAATGTGCTGTTCCGGTTCATCCAATCGGGAGCTTGTATGTCGCTACAGTGACGTCACTATGGGGACGTTCAAGCTCCTGATTGGATAAAACCGTGAACAGCTGATCTTTTACTTCCAATGCGCGGTTAAATAAATCCTAGTATAATCGCGCGACTTTTCTTGACGTTTCACTGGCGTAGAGCTCATCACGACTCGGCACGGACTGGTCAAAACCTTGGTCTCACTCAGAACGGAACGACAATATTATCAGAGCTACCTACCGTTGCTTCCGAGTGAATTACGTTTTCGCTGTGCTTTATTGTGCTGTGTATTTTTGTTTGCTATTTTATACCGCGTAAAGAACTTGAAGAATACTGTAAAAAGACGGGATAGTGGAAATCGCAGTGAATGACGTCATAATATGTGCAACCGAGAATCCGAGCGATGATTGCCATTAATTACTTGATGATTCGTTCCAATTTATTGTCCGTAATGTCCTGCTATTAAGAGCGAAAGAGGCGCGAATAATCTTAATAATAATATAATGTTACAGTTGGCAACACGAATGTGATGTGACGAAGGCACTCCCCTCTACGTGACGTGAAGAAAGTAGCGCGACTATCGTTCGTCAACAGAGGGCTCTTGCGCAGCGTATGAGCTTCAGCCAATGAGCTTCAGGCACCAGTTTGCGTCAAAATATTAACGGACATTTTAAATGCAGCCAGATATACCAAAATTATCACCTTTACAAGACATTGAAATAGATACATGAAACATTTTTCAAAAATATTGTATCTTTTATTTCAACTACACCTCCGTCGTGTTATTTTTGGTTGGTCGACAGTGAAAATTGCCACTTTCAGAATGTTTCTCAACACTTCTCGCTCTCCATGCAACATGGCGGCCAGCATCTGGTGTGGCTTTTCAAACGAAATGACTGTGCTGTGGTCACGTATTTCGTGACACAATCTGGTCGGAGTAACTCACCCATATCTTTCCACCATGGTAGTAATGGTAATTTTTTGCAAAACATGGATACTTCGATGCATCAAAAGGTTTTCAATGTCGATGATTTTTAAATGTTGATGTTTAAAATATCGATGATTTTTTAAATATGGTGAAACATATCGAAATAAAATGAACTGGTTGTAATGTGATACATAACACTTATTAGTCTAATGTATACTCTGCCTTAAATGTGACTGTCATTTTAATATTTTAATCAATGTTCTGTATAGTGAGGGTTTAAATGCAAGTAAACAACAATCAAGAAGGTAACAATGGAGAAAAGCTGCGAATACCAAACGGTTTCGTGTCGTCTAACGATCGACAACTGTCCCTGTTGTGAATGGCTGTCATTTGCCAGACAATCCACAAAAAAATAGTCTGTGAAAATTTTATTTATACCGTGAGCATTTTTTTTAAAGATCGATGTTTCTAGACAAATATATCGATCTGAAGAAAATCTCGAAAGCAAAACATCGATGTAATAATATTGATGTTTCTTCTCGAATGTAAGGTGCTGAAACACGTGTCCCTCGTATTTTCACGCAAATTTACTAGAAAAGTACTCACGTTTTCGAAAAGTTGTACGTACCCTTATCAAAATCAAAATCTATCTCTGAGGGACAGATTTTATTAAGGGAAAATTCACTATCTTTAATATTTTAGTTGTAAAAAGACTCCAAAAAATTTTGAACTTTTGCAATTTTCGAAAAATTAGGGCTTTCTACGAACATGAGACATACACCATTCTCTTAAACGTCGTTCACACTATCCAACAACAAAAGTCAATAAAAAACGAGGGAGCCATTTTTTTAAAATTTGGAGAATGACCCATGGGTTTTGTATAAAGAACCCCCAAAATTGAAATATCGGTTTCAAATTCAACGGGCTGCGACATTAACCAGATTATGTAATTGAGGAATATTAATTTTGGAGAAATGGGCCGAACGATTTAGCTCGCTAGCGTTGTTCATGGACGGACGGACAGGCATTTTGCTGTCATTCGATATTTCGGTGTCAAGAACCCACAAAAGAGGGATTCTACCTATACATCGTGTTTGAGGATTTTCCCTCTAAACTTAGCAACTGGATTTATCCAATTTTTCGTTATATGGGTCCGGCGATGAATTTTTTCTGCCGCAATTTCATTTTTTTCGCGCACCAAAACTTTCCCTGAACCCCGTTGGGAGTAAGTAAAAATAGATGTTTTTTGCCATCCCCAGTCTGAGGCGCCGCCCATTAAGAAGGCCAAGGTGGAGGCGGCGGCGGCGGCGGTGGTTTCGACGGCGACGGCGGCGACGACGGCGGCGACTGCGGCGACGGCTGTGGGCTCCGTGAAGAAGGTGTTCAAGTGCCCGCACTGCTCCTTCTGGGCGTCGACGGCGTCGCGCTTCCACGTGCACATCGTGGGCCACCTCAACAAGAAGCCCTTCGAGTGCTCGCTGTGCGCCTACCGCTCCAACTGGCGCTGGGACATCACCAAGCACATTCGCCTCAAGTCGGCTCGCGACTCCGGACACGAGAGGGCGCGCGTGCTCATGACGGACGAGACGGGCCGCCG